TGAGTCCTCTACTCTAGCACAAGCACACAAATAAGCATAAGACTCACCTGAACTAACTCACTCAAGGCACACACATCAATCATAAGCAAGTGCGCTCACTGCACTGATAACTAATTACAAATACATGTATTTACACGAACACACGTGCCCTCACTGCACGCAGAACGCTCACCGTGGCACTATGATCACAGATTCCTGATGCCCTCAACCTCAGGGACTTACTTAGTTATGCTATGGATGGTCGCCCGAATAGCTCCCGCTCCACGGATACAAAATGTGCAGTATTGAGCCCCCCAGGCAAAAGTGTTAGTCAGAGGCCGAGTCAGGAGGAGAGTGTGTGGCCTGTGGTGCACCCACGCTCACTATTGGTGTCACCACCACCCTCTCTTCCCCAAGGTATTACTACCACCCCCATCTTCCACACCCTTAGTGTATCTCTGAACCATTCATAGAGAAAGTTGAACTTAATAGAGAAAAGCTGAGAGCCACCCAGAGTCGACAGAAATCTTATGCTGACTGACGCAGAAGACCTCTAGAATTTGAGGTTGGTGATCACGTATTCTTGAGAGTATCACGTACTACTGGTGTAGGGCGAGCCTTAAAAGCCAAGAAGTTAGCACCTAAGTTTATAGGACCGTATCAGATATTACATCGTAGAGGACTAGTAGCCTATGAATTAGCGCTACCACCTCAGTTGTCAGGACTACATAATGTTTTCCATGTGCTGCAGCTAAGAAAGTATGTTCCTGATTTGTCTCATGTAATTAAGCCTGATGTTGTGGAGTTACGAGATGATTTGTCTGTGGAGGTCCCAGTTGCTCGTATCGAGGATACTAGAGTTAAGGAACTTAGAGGCAAGTCTATTCGGTTAGTAAAGGTTATTTAGGACCCAGTAACTGGTGATGCCACATGGGAGTTGGAGGAAAGAATGAGAGAGTTGTACCCTCATCTTTTCTCTGAGCGATGAAATTTTCGAGGACGAAAATTTATTTTCGGGAGGAGAATTGTTAGGCAAGAGATTTATTATTGAGTAATCTATAATATTTTATACTTGTTCAATGTTAATTGAAGGATTATTTGGTATTGGAATAGATTTAGATGGAGTTTGAAATTATTTATAAAAAAAAAAAAAAAAAGGTGAACAGTAACGTATGAACAGTGTCAGATGAACAGTAAAACCGCGTATGAACAGTGAAAACCGCGTATGTACAGTGACTACTGACGTTATCAGTGACATCATCATGACGTCATGGCTGATGTCACATACGCATACAGTGCGTGTACAGTATGCGTGCACAGTATTTTCCGGCGTGAATAGTGCCCTGAATAGTGTTTCCGGCGTGAACAGTAAGGCAGTGAACAGTGTTTCTGGCAGTGAACAGTAAATTTTGAAAATTTTCTATAAAAAGGGGGCTTCACACGAAATTTTCATTTCTTCATTCCTCTTCAAGGTTCTCAAAGGTTCTAAGGCCAAATATCACTATTTCTCTCATACTAAACCTTCCTAAACTTAGATTTCTTGTCAGATCTGAGATTCTACGTCTATTCTGAAGGATTTGAAGTAAGTTTCTTTAAGTTTAAAGCTAGATTTACCGTTCGTTTCTCTTCTCCTTCTCTTTCTCATAGAAGTTCATGGTGTTCTTAGGAGAAACTTCGTTCTAAAGCTGAATCTTCGGTGAATCTTGCATTAAAATAAGTAATATTCGGTAGATCTAGTGTAAATCATCTTTCTGAGGTAAGGAGAGTTTACTTTAACCTATGAACTACGTTTTGAACGGTTTAATATGCTATTTCAAGATGTTTTGATATGATTTTGTTAGATCTTTTGAATAAAATCTATTTTCTAAGCTGTAACTGCTGTTAATTGATTTAAAATGCTGAGATTTTAGCTGATCTATTATAAACTTGCTTTAGTTGAGCTGTTAAAATAACTTTGGCGGTGTGCATCATGCTGAGATATATATTTTGCATCATTATAGAGCCGAGTTACATGTTTAGGTGGGTAGACATGTAACGGTAAGTTCATGCTGAGCTGCTGTGCTGTGCTGTCTGGATCCAGATACCGGAATGGGTCGCTCCCGGACCGGCTCGATTCCTTCTGGATTACTTAGGCTGTGAAACCAGTTGGAAACCGTTTTCATGTTGTGCATTAGATGGGCTGGAAATGCATGGGACTATTGCTGTGAGAAATATTTTGCTCTCTATATATGATTTTATTTTAAGTTTGGTAAGCTTACCCTTGCATTTCTTTCTATGTCGTTGTGTGCGTGTATACTGCGATGATCGTACGGTGGTACGTGAGCAGATGTAGCAGGTGTTGCATCTACTTCACAGGCTGAGGGGCCAGTGAAGAAATGATTGAAGCTGGGGTCGAGTAATATTGCATCAAAGTCCTTTTTCCCTATATTTTGAGACCTCATGTAGAGGGAGCTACGTAGTATAATTTTGGGTATTTTGAATACTATGAACTAAATGTAATATTATGTTGTTCTGTTGGATATTTGTTGTAAGAAACTTTGTTTTATTTTAATTGAGAAGAGAATTTCATACTTATATTCTCTATTATTTATTTTTCTTAAATAAGTATGGATGTACAAACAATGTTCTCGGTTCCTTACAAAAAGGGGTCGTGACAGTTAAAGTAGTGATTGAATGGAAATTTGATCAACTAATCATAGAGGAACTCTTATCAATGGGAATTGAATTTGTTTCTCAGATCTGAATTAATTGCCAAGGTTATTAGTTTCTTAGGGATAAGATATCTTAATCTTGCAATCTTTTGGTTTCTTAAACTTAATGCAGCATTTGATTGGATTAGATCTAAGGGATTATAGTGATTTGATTAGATGTTAGATTCATTGAGGCAAGGGATTGTCCTTTGATTAATATAGCGTGAAACTGATTGTCATTCCATCTAAATGCTTGAAAGTTCAGAACTTTATTAATTCAATGTTGAAGTTTTGGTGAAATAATTTCCTAACTACTCTTTCTACATCTGTTTACTGTATACTTTTATACTAACTGTTCTGTTTTACTTTCTAATTTCATTTTTGATACATTCATACCAATTCCATCTGAAATTTGTAAAGCTCAACTAATTGTGATCTTGTGAAGTGGTAATTGAGAACTTTATTCCCTGAGGACGATACTTGGAACTCAATTTGATTCTAAGATTTTTTTTATAACTTGCTACAACAACAATAGTATACTTGCTAGTCAGTTTACCTTCATTGCAACAACAATTGTAAAAAGTGTGATAGTAGTTCATTTGGAACCTCTCTCTAATATATACTTCTTAGAGCGGTTATTTAACAACCGCTCTCAGAAGTCCATATTAGATAACAATTCCAAATGAACCGCTCTCACTCTAAGTATATATTAGAGAGTGGTTAAAGTGGAACCGCTCTCTTAGTGTTTTATACAAAGCATTTATTACTAGCCATTATCTAAGTAGGCGCTCCAAAAGCGAATTTCTGGCGTAGTGAATCTTCATCCTGATTCCTTTAGCAATGAAGTTTGAAAGTCACTCCCCACCTCTCTTTCTGAATTCTCTTGGAAGTTAAAATAATTACAAAGTGAAAAATAACAAAAAATGAACAATCCCCAAATCTGAACTTTCAACTTCTATTTATAGTGTTTTTTCTCGCCTTTTTTCACTTCCACACAATAATTTGTGAAGATTATATCATGAAAGGTCTTCAAGGAGCTTCTATAACTGAATTAGAAACTCAAATCGTCCAAAGTTGATACTTAGAAGTAATTTTCAAAATTCTGTTACATTTGCGTAGACACTCTAAGTGGTTAGAGTGTTAACGCACATGTGTTTTCTGAGCTTTTACCTTGTGCGTGTTCACTGTGAATGGTTAGAGTGTTAACGCATAGTTGTGCATTGTTACTCTTAGTGGATAGAGTGTTAACGCACAAAGTTCTAGGGCAAATCAGTCTTAGGCGTAGCTACTCTGAGTGCTTGGAGTGAACACGCGTAGAGTTCTATCATATTTTTTGCTGTTGGAGTGTTCACTTTCACCACCTAGAGTTACTACTCACTTGCTCTTCACGAATTTCTTCTTCAAATTGTTAACTCTATGTGTACAGAGTAATTACGCCCAATATATAACACTTGATTCTTCATCTTTAAAGCTCAATTCTTCTACTTTTTTCACTTCATTTTTCAACTCAAATATCTTCAATTCAAGCTTCTACACAAGAATTAAATCTTTTTAAGTCAAATTGTTTAGAATTGGAATAAAATCTAAAATTCTTAACTATTTATACAATTATGAATATTGATGCAATTTTTATAGTTTTCCTAAGTTTATTCAACACTTTACTACTTATTTATTAACAAAAACTATACTAAAAATATAGTAAAATGTGAATTTATCAAAGGTGATTCTCTTTAAGAAAATATTTTCTAGTCAACAAATAATTTTTTTTATAGCAGATAACTTTAAATTTACAGGTGAATATCTTATTGTGAAGATAACCTTAAGTTCACATTTTATTTTTGTGTACTTAGTTATGTTGCATATTCAATCTATAGTAAATTTTCATATTTATTATCTTTACAGTTCTCATTATTTTTTTATTCTACTCCTTTCAGCGCTTTTTAATCTCGTTATTTACATTAAGTTTACAGAAAAATTCTTTTTAAACTTCCGAGACGATATAATCCAAACACTGTTCATATATTATCTATATGTAAATTACAAATTTATCTCGTGAAGGATTAACATATAAAGTTCAACTTAAACCTTCCAGACGAGCCAAACACTCTTAATTAAACTATAAGTATTGTAGGCTTGTAGCTAGACAAGGCATACCATATAATTTACCAAATAGCTTTAAAATTTAGTACTCATAAGGACTTGTTACATACAAATGATATTCTAGCTATAGTCATTGACGTCGCTCCACAAAACAACATCCCAAGCGTTTTTTACATCTTAAAAGGTACTCTTTGTACCAACCATATTCATATTCAATTTGGAAAGTTGTTATGTAGTTAACATTATTCTATTCCTTTGTGGGACCAAGCATCCAAGGTGGAAGAAGGGTAACTTGGGCTGGAGTTGAGGTTCCATCAATATTTCCTCCGTTACCTCTAGTTTCTGGCGAACCTCTGCATCAAATAGCTCATTTATTATTATCACTTTTCATTCAATATTGGAGCTAAGCTTAGTAAAATGAATGATGCCTCTGACATCCTTGAAGCCATGACGATACATATTGTTAACCTAGTGATCATGGCTTCCTTTACTCTTCCTGATTGCATTCCATCTTTATAGAGTACATTGTATTCAAATTGAATCGATGGTTTACCAAGCAGTTATCATTCTTATTGGTACTATTCTTTCCGCACAATGGGATAATATACAAGGTTGGAAACTATATATGGCCTCATGCAAATTACTATGAAAACCTCTTGCTTGTTATTGTTCAGACGTGGTAGTATAGATGCAAAATATGTTGATGTCCCTGCCCAACTAGTTTATCATGCATCCCTATATGCACAAATTAGTCAAGGACAAGAAGAAAACAAATTCATACTTAGATACATGCACAAACTCAAAAAACAGAAAGAGGCCTAGAGAGTTTTATTGATCTAGGAAATAAAAGATACTAACCCAATATTCAATGTCTCCAACGGTTGAGGAACAAGGACAGCAGAAGTAAGATCCACATTCTTATTTTGCTGCTCTTGTGCCTGTTGAGCTAGTGTCTTCTCTTTCTCCTTTATCTTGTTTTTGCTCAAACCAAAACAATTATGTAAAGTGAGATTTAATATCCCGGATCCAAACAAACTGTAGTCAACTACAGCTATTAATCAGAAATAAATTAACCATTAAAAATTACCTTCTTAGCAAGCGTGTTGTTTTGTTCTTGTAGGGCCTTATCCTGCATTCTTTAAACATCAAAAATTAAATCGAACAATTTGTTCAATGGATGATGACGAATTTATGTTAGTGATTTGCTACAAATTTAAATTTAATATTTTAATTTTTAATTATTGCAATAGTTGAGATCGCATATGTAAATCACAATTGACCTTCACGTTAAACTATTCTTTTCACATTGAATCACAAATAATGACAAAAACAAGGAGAATGCTATTAAAATATTGTATTACAATAATATTATATGACCTTTAATTATTATTTGTCTAAAGAAACAAAATGTGAATGGGTAATCATCTCACCATACAAAGACCTTCCTTTATTTATTACAGCTCACTCCTTTCTTTGCTTATTAGAAAATTATATTTACTTTCTTTACTTTATATTTTTCTACACAGTTTTTGTTTGCACGTAAAGTAATTGGTAACATTATGCAAAGTTCAGTGTAGTATTATATATATATATATATATATATATATATATATATCCCAAATGTTATGGTACAAATAAGGTTTTAAATAATAAAATATTTATTTATTTTTATCAAAATAGTTTTAATTAATATTCATTTTGAAAATTCCAAAAGATCGTTCTCTTATATATTTGTAGTAAACAAAAGTTTATGACAGCAATAACACTCATACTAATCAAGAAGAAGATACTTTTGTTTATATAGATTACTAAAACGTGATTAATTATGAGATTTCAATTGTTCTGAAACATATATATAAATGTGAGAATAATGCCCGATTCCTTAATTATTTTAGCAAACTTTGAAAATAATTGATTCAAGTTAATTATGAGATTTCAATTGTTCTGAAACATATATATAAATGTGAGAATAATGCCCGATTCCTTAATTATTTTAGCAAACTTTGAAAATAATTGATTCAAGTTAAGCTAGACAGAGCATTCAAAAGTTGAGTTTCTACACTCAACCTATAGTTGTCTCTGAATTTATTTTTCAGGGTATATGTTAATTTCATATCTCAATACATAAAAGCTAATTCTTAAATTTGTAAAACTGGTATTATCATAATTTTTCTTATTTCAGTCTACAAAAGGAAAAAATATTTTAAATTTTGTAAATTTTTTGAGGACAAAGTTGCGTGTATTAATAAATTCAAGAACTAAAAGTATCTATAATCAAAGGATAACTTTATTTCTTAGTTGCTTATTCATTCAAAATTTATATATATGGTACAAGTGTAGTCTTAACATATCACGGATACTAGATGCAATATATAGTTACATAATTCATTCATGCTCTCTATTTATGAATGAATTAGCTAATTACAATATATGTTATATGCAATGTCTTACATATATCATTTTTATTATTATTAACATTCAATACTAAGATTTCTCAACCTTAAAACTTTTTTTATAATTTTGAGTGTATTTTTTGCTCCCACTTTTACCTTACGATCCAATGTGCTATTAGCTAGACTAATATTTTAAGGTATACGCAGATGCATACACATTCAATTTATTTATCATTTATCTCTTGCTCCTTTATAATCTCTCAACTTTCACCTTTTTTAATATACTTTTTCTTCTTAGTAACTGAAAATAAATGCTTATTTTTTAATTTTTCTTCTATTGATATTCAAATTCTAATCAGATTGGTGGTGATAAAATAAAAATCCCTTTCCACAAAAGAATTACTATGTCATTATAGTTAAAGTCATAATTATTAAGTGAAATATTAAAAGTATCAATTTATAAGAAATATTAACCAACGAGCTTGTGGTCAACCAATATGAGTTTTTCTAGTTTAACTAGTGTTTTTAAGTTTGAATCATAGTATGCATTTGCCATAAATATTTGAAATGAGAGTTTCATAGTGGTCATATCAAATTTGAGAATAATTTTTGTGTAAAAAATACATTTGGTTTAGATAAAAAATTAAGGAATATAAACGATATCTTTAGTGCTCATTATAGGTTCTAACGTCTGATGTTGTTCTTAGAAAAGTTTAAGCTTTTGCTATCTCTAATGCACTATTTTTGGTGTTAGCCTTCACCTTTGTGTAAATAAAGTAAGGTATTGTAGGAAGATTAGTGCGTGTAAAAAGGAAATAAGGGAATTATGGGAAACTAGGGAAGTATGAAGGACTCATGAAAGAACGACTCTAGCGATAAGTACTTAACTGTTGACTATGTATATTCTTAAGTATGGGTTTTGCCCAATTTAATTATAAAATCTAGCTTATAAGGTGAAAATTATTTATGTGTTACTCTAATCATATTTATAGTTGGTGTGAGATCTTAATGCACCTCGTACGTAAGATTAAACATCTAGAGTCAAAGATAATACAACTTTTCTTGTTCTTTTGGGAAACTCCACTTGTCCTCCTTGTAACAAGATGCTAAAAGACGAAATGAGAGAAAATGAAAGATTATCGAACAATTTAGATCAACGTTACTGAAAAGTCTAGAAAAATGAAACCACTATTTAAATCTGGGAAAGATTAGTGTTTAATGTCTTCACAATCTATGAATGGGTATATTAGAGCCATCTGCTAAGATTATGTGGTGTATACTAAAAGGGAAGGGATAATACAAAAATAAATATGGTCAATAGCACCAATATTCCACAAATCCTCAAACAAAGTACTATCAACGACTAAGCTGCAAATACTATACAAATTATTTCGAGAACCCATAAAAGTGTTGTTAAGCTCTCCAACTTAGCTTTACCAAGCGAAGGAATCTGTGGTGACGACTGGACGTTAGTCTTCCCTAGTTTGCCAAATGAAGGATGGTGGTTCATCCAGTGACATTATGGGCATTTTTATCAATCCCGCATAGCAACGTGTAGCAATATAAGTTTTTCATTTATTCAAGAAGCTACAAGGTCTATTTCATCCCTTAAAAAATCCTAAATACTATGTCGTTTTGAGGCCATAATGGAAAGTCGGCTTATTTCTCTATATTTTAAAGTTAGGAAGTCCATTTTATCCTTAAAAAATCCTCAAAATTGTGTTGTTTTGAGGGCGAAAAAAGAAAATTGACTTTATTTCTCTCTAGCGGCGGCAGGATATACAGCTCCGTGAGAAGTCTAATTTTGGGCCACGAAATCAGCCGCAAAGGGCATGACAGCAAAACACCCACTTTGCCAAATCTATGGGATCTGTAGGCTGCTCTGCCACGCACCTTTGCTAACATTCTATTATTCTGGCAGCTCTATGGTTATAGGACAAAGTCATGGTGATAGTGGTTAGAGACAGATGGTGACAGTTGCCTATTTGATATTTAAAATTAATTTGAAAGCAATGAAAGGGTTAGTCTATCATGGTCAGTCACAATGAATACAAATAGGTGATATCAACAATTATGACATCTTAGGGTTTTATGAAACACAGTCTCTCAAATTACAACTTCTAATACCAACTTGGAATGAAGAACTTCAAGCAAATTAAAGTTGAATATTATTGGTTGATAATATTATGCTCGACCCTTTTCATTGTAAACCCCACTACTGGTACTTTTCAAAATTAAATTCTCTTATTTATTATGGTAACTAATAATATTAATAACCAAGTATTTAATTTACAGAGAAGGAGCATTTTGTGTACAACATGGAATATGGGTTGATGGAAAAAAGTGTAAAGGAAGCTTGGTTTTACGTGTGGTTTGCAGCTTTTTGAACCATTTGGATACACAGAAATAAGGTTACATTTAAAAAGGAAAACCGTAGTTTAGGAAAAAGTGATAGATTTAAGATTAGATCATGGAGTTAGCTTAAGGCTAGCTAATTTCATTGATGCTGGTTTCTTTTACGATTTGGGATATGGAACCTAAAATTTGTTTGAGTAGTTTGTAGGGTGAAGAAGATGGGTTGGGGTATCCCTATTACACTGTTTTAAATGCTATTTTCTTTATAGGCTGATAAAAAAGTAGTTTACCGAAATAAAAGTTTACGCTAAGCACGTTGTAACCATGAGTAGCTTCAACTTTTTATTTTGAAGAAGAGAACAAAATTGTTGGCAATATTTATTGATCAATTCAACGATAGCAAGTTTGCAACTTAAAAAAAGTTGAAAGTAAGAAGACTCGCCTTTTTATGAAGCTGTGAAATAGATTCATACATGAGTTGATTCTGCATATATATAATTAAAAGTAAGAATAGCTATGACATTCAGTTCAAACTATATCGCAAGCTATGGGTTGCATAGTTTTACCTTCCGCGATCTAATGTGTTTGAGAGCAGAATCAAGCTGATGTTCCAAATTCTGAAGCTCTTTGATGCTTAGGCTATCCAAATCTTCTCCCATAAAATTCCTGAAAAAAAAAAAGAGGTGCTCTAATGTTTTATATTTTATTAAAATTAAAGCACAGAGAAGCCATTGCTCGAACTATTTTAATACCTTTGATTTTTCTGTAGGACTTCCAACCTTGCTTTGAGCTTTGCATGTTCTAGAGTCCAATTTCCCTAGGAGCGCATATAATAAAATTAGTGTTCCGATTTTACCAATTTTCTGTAGCAACGGCAAGTTATATAAATCAAGAAGGAAAGAATTAAATTTCATCACTTGAAAATTTTCAGTACCAAATTTTACATGCAATAGAGTAGCGAAGGAAAAATGGTTTTGTAAAAGTAAATTGGTAAAATGGTTGTAGGTGGGGTTTATAGAAAAGAGAGTATAATCTCCAATAAACATCAATTAGTAAGCGACCAATTAAATGAGTTGAAGATTGATTCTTAGGAACGACGGCCTACATTTTGTGGCTGATTATTTGTCACAAGCTGCCTCTCCGCATATGAATACCTCTCATACCGTTCAAGAATTCTTTCCATACTGTTGTCAAAGGAAAGTAAAAGTGAGTGATGATTTTGTACATTGATAACAAAGCCTAGAATAGATATAGATAAACTTCAGTTGAAACCAAATATAGCAGCATACAAATGTGTTATTTGTATTAAAAGGGTAAAGAAATCACATTGTTGTTAACTAAAAGATTCAAATAATTCTTTAACACAAGAAAAAAAAAAGAATTACGCAGAGACTTGCAATATTCAGTGGACATAAGTACAAAATGAATTTTCAGACACATTGGAATATTGACGCTGAACGAAAGGAAGAGTAATTTAAGCCATTGGCTATATCAACTTATTTCGAACCTTTCGTTATAGTGAAAATATTGATCCAGAGCTAAGACTAACACTCCTCGATACCGTTTGCCATTTGCCAGAATTCAACATTTCCATTCATCAAAATTTTTGTCTACGTTCAATAATTTTATATTCCTTTCTCTTCTTTGCAAAAAAAGAGGAAATGGGGCCATACTTGTATTTTCAACTTGTATTTAGCCCATGGGGCCTGTATTTCCAACTTCTATTTTTATGAGATAAAACAAATTAACATTACGAGAGTAATGAATACTCAACCTTATGAACAAAATCCCTATCGAGTTTTACAAGTTACAAACTTTCAATAAAGTAACTATTTTTAAAAATAAAATACAATAAAAATTTATATTGGATACTATTTTTAAATACATTAAATTATTTTTAAAATAAAAATCAAACATATTCTTAATTCTTCTCACTTTGATAGAAATAAGTAACAATGATCTAACTATTTGTCAAATCCAAGATCCTAATGATCAATATATATTGAAAGTTATTTTACTTATTGTATAATATATTTTTGATAGGAGTAGGTTCTTCTTACACTAATATAAATTTAAAAACTCTTATATTTGATCTGAACTTTTTATTTAACTTATATCTAATGAGTTATAATTTATTACTTCACTAATCGTTAGATGTAAATTAAATGAAAGGCTCAAATTGAGTGTAAATTTTAAAATTTTAAAACCTTCAAAAAATTGAAAGATTTTGTAACTGAAAAACATGTAAAATGTCACACCGAGCACTACACGGTATAAATGTTAAGCGTGCATTTATTTCTTATTTGAAGAAAAAACTGTTAAAAAAAAGTCCCCCATCATTATTATGTTATATTTGATAGCTAGACTGTAAATGAAGTAAGGAAAAGGCTGTTAAACTCATTTTCAAAATTAGAATGTGTAAATTGATAAACTATATAAAAATATTGGAAATTCAATGACAATTTAGAGAAAATTATATAGACCAAAACATATTTTTTTAGTGCTGATCCATTAGTTACCTCCTTTTTATTCTGTCCATGCTCAGGGTGTGTACTCAACAGTACACCTGTTAACTTATCCAAGGCAAAATGTCGGCAAAATCAACTTCGGGTGCTAAAGTGAAACCAGGTTAACTAACGCCTAAATATACAAATTCGACAAAAATACGGTACGGAAACGGGTCCTAATATGTTGGAATAGGAGTTAGAGTCTAGCAAGGTTAAAAGTGGTATATACTCGAGTGTGATATTGAATCTTGGATTGGTGGGTATGATTGGCAGCACCATAACAGCCGTTTTGATTGATATATAGCTTTGTGCTTTATTTTATATTTACACATACGGGACACTGTTGCAACAGTGATCGGTCACTTTTCTGCTATTTTCTTTCTCATATTTGTGTCTGAGGCAGTGTTTGTCAGATCAGGTTGCTTCTTTCAAATGGCAAATCACGTACCTCTCTATATGGCCATGCGGGGAGAGCAAGTTCAAGTTACACTGCCAAATCCACCCACGCCACACTCAACACAAAACACTCCGTAACTGTTGCAAAAATTAACATTCCTGTCGACTACCCCATCTCTCCTCTCTCGCTCTTTCGTGCTCAATATGTTTTACTATAGAGCATGATGACAATATTTCCAAGTACAATTAAAACGAACAATTATATATATGTATATGTATATATATAATATGAAAAATTGATGACCCAATCACAGCAAAATCACGAACTACTAAACGTGTAAATAAAATAAACCTAGAAAAGAGGGAAAAAAGGGAGAAACTAATTGAATATTAGGGGGTAAAACCAAAAGAATACCACAACAAAAAGGGGAAAATATTAACCATCGATAAGAGGCATGAATATATACACAGTAGACATAATTGACGGAGATCCGTATATAAACAAAGAAATTAAATATAATTAGGTAAAGAAAAACTATAAAACAAAAAATAACACGAAATATATATATAAGTTGGGATTAGAAAGAGATATAGAAGAAAGGAGAACACGGAGAGTGGTTTACGTAAAGTTATGGTAAATTACGTACCAGGGATCGCTGGAGAACTCAAATAGTTTGCCTTTAGTGGAGAAGACTATAAGAGCCACTTCAGCATCACAAAGTACAGAGATCTCGTTTGCTTTTTTGAGCAAACCAGTTCTCCTCTTTGAGAAGGTCACTTGCCTATTGATCTTGTTCTCGATCCTCTTCAATTGCACCCTTCCCCTTCCCATATCTCTCTGTATTCTATTATATTATACGTTTCTCTCTCTCTCTCTCTCTTCTTAACACTATCTTTCCGATCCTCTCTTGCAACCACCACACGGCAAGAAGGACAATTCACACCCGAATTTCAATAACAGATCATGACCGCTAACAAGGATGAAGTACCCTTTAATTTCCCTCTATCGATATATTTTCTCTATGTTTATTTCTTGGTGTTTTTCTTTATGATATGGAATTCTATGTTTTCTATTATGCTATCGATGTTTATGTACGTGAGAAGCAGAGAGTGAGACGAAGATGACCGCGAGTCTCCTTCTGATTCATTTTTATAAAGTGGGAAAATATAAAACAAAATAGAAAACGAAAAATGATTGGTTATTATTATTATATTCGACGAAAAGGAAAAGAAAAGCGAAAGTGGGAAGGAGAAAAATAAAACGGATGATAAAAGGTGGTTTGCAAAACCAGGGTGGTTTCGTCAAAAACGTTGTCGAGCTTGGATTGGACAGGGGTGCTATCAATTAGGACAGTCCGTTGTTGTCTGTCGACTCTAATTTTTCTCGTACATATTTCTTTGTTGCGAGTTTATTTACTCGGGCTAATTAGGGATTACTTCCTTTGCTTTTCTGTCTTTCACTTATGGAAAGAAATCCTAGCATATAATTGTTTATAAAATAACATTTTTATATGAAATAACAAGAGAAAAGAGAAATAAAATTAAAAAAAGAAAAAATGATGTAAAGAAAAGTAAATTTAAAATTTTACTTTTACAGTGGCTAACTTTTTTTATTTTTTCAGTGAAGAAAAAAATAACAATTTAATCATTCATATTTTTTCTGATTATTCACTTTGACATTCTGTAGTTAATTTTTATTTTAGGTTTTTCTTTTAGCACAATAAGAAAATAAATGAATAGTCACAGAAATCAGCCATCAACATTAATCAGTGGCTTATTTAGCAACCAATAACAACAACAACCAAGTTGTTAAATTTGATAAAAAAAAAAAAAAAAGTCACCAAAATAGCAATTAAATTTTCGACGGCTAACTGAAAAACACAAAATCGATTGCTAATAAGGCATTGTTGGTCGTCTACTATGGGAAAAAAAGTTGAATTTCTAAAAGACATTAGCCAATGCTCTTTTATTTTGATGCTAATCCTTTTTTTTTATTAGTAAAAGATAATATTTTATGTCGATTAAATATAACTTTTTATGTTGCTTAGAAAGGCAATGTAAATTTAGTCGATGTAGTAAATCGTTATATTTTATATTGATTATAATAACAACTAATATAAAAAAATTAAATAATAGATTTTCTATATATGTTATATCGTAACTGAAGTAAAAAAAATCTAAATTTTACACTTATTTTAGTTATAACTTTATTTTTTAATATAATTTTCATTTAACATTATATCATAAAACTTGAAATGCAAATATAATTCAAACACAGTTCCAAATATACATATTGTGAATAATAAAATTTTGATTTAAAAATTTTGATTTTAAAATAAAATCTGAATTTTAATATTACAAAAGGAGAATGGAATCAAAGAGTTTTAAAGAAAAAACAAAAATTTGTCTTAATAAAATAGAAAAAATTTAGAATTAATTTTTAAAAAGAAAATAGAATATAACAAATAATTAAACTCTTGAACCAATGCTACTTTATACATAAAAAAGGAAAAATTCAGAATTTTTTGCCTTTTGTAAAAACCCTAGCAATAAAAGGAAAAAAGAAGCATAGAGTAAAGGAGGCATCAAAGGAGGCTAAAAATTTTGAGAGTAAGCATTCTTAAACTTTGAGAGAAAAAGAGAAAAATATAGAGAAAGGAAGGTTAGTGGAAAGGAAGAAGAACAAAAAGGCAAGCAACATTTTTTTTTTCAAGAACATCTAGTAAGTTTTATCATGCATTTTATACATTTTTCTTCTTCATACATATTTATATTTTGAATAAATATTTTCTATATCAAATCAATCCCAAATGGCAAAAAAGTTTCAAACCAAAAGATGTTCAACAACTGTGATAATTCTTCAAGTTTTCAATTTTCTCTTTAAACATGTTCTTCATTGTGTTAACTTCTTTTTGACTGCATCATTTTTTTTATTATTGCATCACTCACAGAAAAATTTAAACAAAAATAACGGGAAAACATTTTCTAAAGCATCCTTATAGAACTCGCACTCAAACAAGGATCATGGATGAGTTAGATGACACAGATCCTAGAGGCACTGAAGTCTTTAGAGAGAAGAACCACAGAGAGGACCCCTACTCAAGCACCTCCAGCACAACCCACTCCTACCTATCCACCAGGTTTTACCCCTACACAAGGACCGTCTCAAAGTTTTCCTCCTCATGAAACAATGGTGCCTTTGATCTTGCATGTAGAAAGGCCTCCACAACAAGCTTTCAATCAACAAGATGTCCAATTTCCCCCATATGGCCTTCCCCAAGGTTATACACCATCGATAGCTGAGAACCCACCAAACACTAGCCAGCCACCAAATCAACCTAACCCTACAAAACTTTCAGGTCCAGAAATCCAACCAACCCAAGCATCTATCTCGTCATATGCTTATCATCAAAATACCCATCCTCAATAAGCTCATATACCCCACACTATGCCTACCTTAAACCCACCAATCCATCACCAACCACAAATCACTAATCCTAGCCTTGATGGAAACCCAGCCATATCACCATTCCATTCCCATAAGACCTTAGAAGAACCTCAGCCCAATTACTTAAAGGAGTACTTCTAATCTAGAGAAAAATTGCAAATATTGGAAGAAAGATTGAGAGCTATCGAAGGGAGCAGCTATGCATTGGGGAAGTTGCGGATCTTTGCTTGTTCCCAGATGTGATAGTTTCTCCAAAATTCAAAGTGTCTGATTTTGATAAGTACAGAGGAACGACATGCCCAAAGAGTCATCTGATCATGTACTGTAGGAAGATGACATCACATGCCCATGATGATAAACTGCTAATTCACTTTTTCCAAGATAGTTTGATTGGGGGAGCTTTGAGTTGGTATATGCATCTTGAGTGTACTCGTATTCGTAGTTGGAAAGACTTGGTTGATGCTTTCCTGAAACAATACAAGTACAATATTGATATGGCTCCCGATAGGTTACAATTGCAAAACATGTTAAAGAAGGAGGATGAGACTTTTAAAGAGTACACCCAGAGATGGAGAGAAGTTGTAGCTCAAGTGGAGTCCCCTTTGTCCGAAAAGGAAATGGTAGCAATGTTTATTGATACCCTCCAATCACCATTCTATGATAGGATGATTGGAAGTGTTTTGTCAAACTTCTCTGATATTGTGATTATCGGGGAAAGAGTGGAAAGAGGAATAAAGAGTGGTAAAATATTCCACAATTATGTCGGATCCTTTAATAAATTCACAAATGGTCTAGGAAGGAAGAAAGGAGAAACTAATGCTGTGACTTTCCACCAGAGAGAAGTTTCTTTCATAAAACCTCACCAGACACCATATCATTTCCAACATGTATTACCTACCCCTCAAATTTCTTATCCATATGTCACTGTCATTTCACAAAACCTCAACTCTCTATCTTATCAACCACGATCCTACCAATCCACTACAACTACTTCTCTCATAACACCACCTATCAGACCACTCCAAGATTTAAGCAAAAACTCAAATGCCAACCATATTAGACCCCAAAACAATCAAGAAATGAAGCAAGTTGATTTTGACCCAATCCCCATGTCATACACAGAGTTGTTACCTTGCTTGTTTCAAAGTTCACTTGTTGTACCATGTCCAATGAAACCTGTTGAACCACCTTATCCAAGAGGGTATGATCCAAATGCAAAATGTGAGTACTATGCTGGTAGTATTGGTCATTCGACGGAGAATTGTAGAGCACTAAAGTTCAAAGTGCCAAATGGCTGAACTTCAAGGAGGATAATTCTAACATTAGGAGTAATCCTCTCCTAGGGCATGGAGGACCATCAATAAATGCCATTGAAAAAGGATCATCCCAAATTTTAGTAAGAAAAGTTGCAGATACCAACTTTGTCCGTTGAACACAGAAACTGGGAATTGAGAGATCATCAAGTTTCCTGTGATTTTTAATACCTATTCTTAGTAATCATGTGAAGCCAATCCTATCCCTTTGTCCTAAAGCTTTAGAATATTCTTACTTTTTGAAAAGACTGATGTAAGATTTCTTTTGTAATTTGAAATATCAGTGGATCTTGTAAGTTGGGACACATGTTTCCTTTTAAATTATATTTTTAAAGAAATGCATTTTGAATTCTCAGTTATCTATTGAGTCATCCTTCCTTATTATTTGAATCTTGTCGTTTATTTTGTCTTTTCTATCTCCACTCTCATATAACGCATATTCAAAAGTGACATACTTGAAAGTAACAGTGCTAGTATTTCATCCAGTAATTGTGATTGTCCCATTAATCAAACTGCCAAAGATGATGATAATGGTTGTGATTTATTCTAAGAATTTCTAAGATTAATCGAGCAAGATGCAAAAGAAATCCAACTCCATGAAGAACAAACAGAGATGTTTGATTTGGGGATTGAAAATGATAAGAGAGAAGTCAAAATATGTACCCTCATGAAAGAACAAGAGTGTGACAAGTTGATTAAGCTCTTGCATGATTATGGTGATGCCTTTTTGTATGGTCATATCAAGATATGTTAGGTTTGAGTGTTAGCATGGTTGAATATGGATTACCACTGAAGACAAAATGTTTCTCAGTTAAGCAAAATATAGGATAATGAAACCTGAGATGCTATTGAAGATTATGGAAGAGGTTACACAAGTTGTTTAAGTAGTTGAGGAATTTCAAATTGCGGTTAAACCAAGCTAAATGTACCTTTGGTGGTAAATCAACCAAATTATTGGGGTTTATAGTTAGTCAAAATAGAATGGAGATTAATCTTGTCAAGGTAATGGCAACCATTGGGATGTTACACCCTCGCACTGAAAAAATGTCCATAAATTTTTGGGAAAGATTG